AGATAGATAGATAGATAGATAGATAGATAGATAGATAGATAGGTAGAGTGTGAAGCAACAGGTTTTTTCCTTCATTGCCAGCTCACTCCATCATTCAACCCGGAAGTGTCCTGTGGAAACACTCAGGTGCAGACAGACAGAAAACAGGAGCAGAGCGGGAATCCTCTCCCTGAGGCCCGGACACAGCCGAGCCATTCAGCTGTGCACGCGCTGACCCTAAAGTTTGTTTCATTTCATTTATGTTGAATGAGATGCAACATTCAGCCACAAACTCCGTTTTAGTTCCACAGAACGTGTGTTCAGTAAATTAAAATGAATGGTGTAATAACTTTATTTTCACGTAGCCTGCAGTAAATCTTATGACGTAAATTACGCTGTTTTTGCGCTTAAAACTAGACCAATGTTGCATTTTGTTTGTGTTTTTTGACGCAAAGCCGCGCCCTTCTCCATGTTTGCTCGCGCAGAATAATCATAAAGCACATGAAGGGAACAAAGCTGACAACAGGAGACAAAGTGAGCAGCTCGCGCTGATTAGAGGCTGCAGCGCCACGTTTCTGCTTCATTCACGCACAAACTGTGAAGTTCAGTTCAGTGTGAAGCACAAGGATTCATCATCTCTGCGTTTATTCACTGTTGAACATGTTGTCTGAAGCGACAGCTTTTCAGATCCACATCTGAATGTTTTGGTGCAACACAAACATAATTTATGTTTCCAGAAAGCACGTGCCTCATAATCTTTAGCCGTTACGTTTTTAAGTTACAAATAAAAATCGCATTTCCTAAACTTTGCGCAAACTCTGTTTAATTGATTATTGTTGTTATTATTGTTATTTAATAATATAAAACAGAATTTTCATGGCGTAGTGAGACTCATGAACAACCCGGACAGCTCTTCGGTCGTTTTTGGCACGCGCTTTTACGCGCCGGAACGCTTGTTTTCCTCCAAGACTTTTATGACGCAGTGTATTTGTTTCCAGTTTCCCTGTTATCTTTTTATTTTATTTGAATCTCTGGCATCTGTTACAGTTGAGCACGAGGCCTGTGTGGTCCTGCGCGTCCCGTTGTGGTCACATGATGAGCCACAAACTCCTGCCTCATTAAATGGCACAGATGATCAGGCTGCCGGTTTCTCTTTTCTTATTAAACATGATTTGACTGAGACAAGTCTCTTCTCCTGCAGGACATCATCTCTGCTGGTTCCCCCGGAGGCTTCTCAGCTTTTTACAATCCGCTCTGCACCACAGCCGCAGTGATAAAATGATCAATTAAAGTCCCGTCATGTAGCGGATAATAAATCACAGCTTCCTCCTGTGATCATAAAATCAGCCATTTCACCTTCACGTGCCGTGGCTGCGGCTGCGGCGCGCAGCGCGCATAAAACTCGAGCCTGTCTAAATATTAGTCTGAATCCCGGAGAAGGAAGGAGAGGAAGCTGACAGCCCGGGGTGGCCCGGGGTGGCTCGGGGTGGCCCTGCTCTCTGCGGGGCCAAAGGAAGAAATGTTCCGGGAGGGGCCTCAGGCCTGCAGGCTTCACGAGAGGCAACAACACAAACACGCGCACACTAGCTCATTACATCGTGAGTCTCTGTCAGGATATTAATTATAATTCAGTTCACATGTCATCATTTTAAATAAACATGAAATTATTTAACAGAAGTGTTTTATTTGTGTCCAATTTCATCAGTTCAACCGCAGCTCAGTTTGTTTACAGCTCTGCAGGTTTATGTTAATTTTTCACAAATATATAATTCTTGTTTTTATATCAAACTCTATTTATGTTTAAAATCTTCATAAATCAAGTCTTTCAGCAGCTTTAGGACACGCGCAGTTTTCAGCAGGTGCAGTCTCATGTTGTTCACTTTCTTCAGCCACTTCCGGTTTAAACTCTTCCCGAAATAAAACAACAGCGCGTAATTTAATATTTATTATAATCATTATTTAAAAAAACAAAATCATCCTGATTGGACCACAGTGCTGTAATGAGAGCTCCGATCCTTGTTCAGCCCTCAAATATTTATAATTTTATTTCCATCATCTGTCACTGATGGCTTGACATTTTTAATTAAAAACAAC